ATCCAGCTCTGCACCTTTGATAGAGATCTGTTTTTTGTGTACCCTGAAAAAAATATTTTTGGAGGGATGAGGAGGAACTTTAGCAGGACTGTGCCTAATTTGATAGCTCTTTTAAAGAATATAACAGACATAGTAGGCCAAATAGCCTCATTTTGGACCATATGGTTAGTTGAGCTCAAGGGATAGAGATTGGAATCTATTGTAAAAGTTGAGATTAAGTGTTACACATGGGAAGTATCATAGATGATGGTGGCATTATTCAACATATGTTTCCTAAATCTGTGAAAATTCCAAATAAGAAGTTATCAATTGTGTCTGCACTTTCTGGCAAGTTCCTCATTCCTTAGTTGGCAGGGCTCCAAGAGCCTCTCTTTGAAAACAACCTCCTATGCATAGAGCCCATCCCATGTTATGGATATGTTCAATGAACATGACTGGAATATTATCTGTAATGGCTGCAGTTGTGTCACTTCGATCTGACCCCCTCTTCAACTTTATTGGAGTTTCCTCTTGTCAAGGACAATTCTGTCTGGCCAATAAATTTTGGTCTTGAAATCTGTCACTCACACCCAAAGAATTAATTATCAATTAATCAGTTTTCAAACACTACTGAGGGGTGATCAAGAAGCTAAATGCAAGTTCATTGAAAATTTTAATTATACAGTAAGTTGAGTTTTTATTCAATTCACCTCAACACATTGTCAGCTTGTAAAAGAAGGTGATTTAATTGGTGAGGAATGTTTTTACGAAGGTTTTCTGTCTGCCAGGTGCTTGTTATGCGCTCAAGTCTCTCAGTTTATTACAAGTGCAAAGCAATCTGAGAAGAACCACAGTCATTTCATGCCGAGATCATCTGATCTGGAGCCTGAAATTTACAAGCAACTGCAATTATCCTTTGACTGACCTTGGGAAATTGGTTATATAGATTTGCCTTTATAAACCCCTTCTCTGCAGAGAGGACTTGGACACATGATTGATAAGAACAAATGAATTAGCAACAATCACTGAACAATGACTTAATTCCAAGTCTACTTGGGATGTGATTTGGAGAGGAACTTTCAGATGGTATTCCCATCTATTTCCTGGCTTTATCTTTCTAAGTGGTCAAGATTTCTTGTTTGGAAGATGCTGTTAAAGGAGGTTTGACCAGATACATCTTGTAGATATTTGCACCTGGGAGTTCTTTGTCTCATTTGTAACACTATGGGCCAAATAGTCAGGCATTGCCTGGCAGGGTTAAAGAAATGCCAAGAATCTGTATTGTTGAGTGTCCCTTGGGAACTGGGCCTCAAGAGCCAGTGAAAGGAAAATGGGAAAGGCTTTTAGCTGTTGCTCTCCTGCAAGGATTCTGCAGAAGACAGGGGAAGAATAAAATTGATTGGAGGAAAAAATGGGATTAATGAGAAGGGAGTACTGAGTTAGCTGAAGGTGGGTTGGTGTTAATCAGAGTGGGAATGGGATTATCTACAGTCTCATTGGAATTAACTAAAACATGCAGGACAGGAAGGAATGGCTAGCTTTGTGATTTACTGACTTTTAACCTTCTTTGCTCCCAGGTTCCCTCTGTTCGCAGCCCGTCTCATTTGACAAGAGGGCATTCTTTACCAAGCAGGTCACCATGGCAACAAAAAGCTCTCAAGATTTCAAAGCTCTCTGTCAGAGTTTCTCCACCTCAGGTAACCAGCAACACAGACATCCAACCGACAAGCAGTGAGCTCCATCCAGCTCCAACATCCCGTTCCACCAGGACAGCCCACAAATTGTCTATTTGGTGTAACAGTGGCTCAGAGAAGGAAGGACAAGAGGCTGTGGTTGGTGCACATGTCAGAACTAATAGAATTACAAAGGATGAGAACACACTCATTTCAGAAGCCTCTACCTCATCAGACCAACAGACTAATCGGGCTCCACATCCAAAGCTTACTCTACCTGGGGCTGTTGGAATGGGCTATTCAATGTTACAAAAGCCACCACCCCTGAATAGACAATCACACCATACAGTGAAAAGATTGGTTCACTCACCAACACAACCGTCACAGTCACTGGATTGGAATTCCTCAGTCACAAGTAAAGCAACCATGGAGGACTCGGAGGAGACTAAAGAGGTGAAAGTAATTGCGGACCCTGTTGGAAAGATTTATAATACAAATCTTGACACAAAGAATCCAAGTGAGTCTAAAATTGAATCCTCAGTTTTAGCTCAACCAAGCATTTCAGCAAACTCAGATCTTCACAGCCCACCAAAGGCTCCTCATGTGGGAGGGTCTTCTTCACCCAGTGGTCATACTTCAGGTAATGATTCTCCCAAATCCCCGCTGAGTTTCTTAGTCAATGCGTTTAAGTCCTTCTCTTCTGGAAAGAATCCAGTGTTACCAGGCAGTGTGGAAAAGACTCAGGATAAGCAACCAAAGACAAGACGGGCCAGGACTTTTTCATATAATTCTTTCCATGGATTGTCTCTCAGTAGGTTCCATAGTTTCACACAAGGGACACCTTCGTCCTCCCAGGATATTGAACAACCAAGTTCAATTCTACCAAGTTCTCCGCTTACAAATCAGCACATGGATGTATCATCAGAGTCTGCCAACACACCAGATCACAGAGATTTTCACAACACCTCACCACTCAACGGTGCAAGTGAAGATTTCAGCAAGGTCACCAAGAGTGAAAAGCAACAGCAGAGCACACTGCCAAAGAAGAAAGATGCAAATCCTAGGGATGATATCTCAATAAAGAGTATTGATTCCAGTCAGATAAAGTCAGAGTGCAACTCTGACATCCAGAGGAACAATGCACTATTTTCTTCGCTGAGATGGGGAAGCACAAAAGCTGAAAGTAATGAGAAACCAGTCTTCGAGTTGGATAGCTCTATGGTGACTGGTTCAAAGAATGACATTTGGACAATCTTTGCCAGTTTCAAGAAGAAGGGCGTTAGGAGGACAGAGATGAAGGAATCTCTATCTAGTGTATGCACCACGTCAGGTTCTCCTAAACTCCAACATGTTAAAGAATGTCACAGACAGCCAGGTAATCTTTCTCTCTTTTTGGAAAAAATCAAAATATGTGGACCTCGAAGGATAGATCAGTAAATAAATGGAGAGAAGTTAGGAGCTGTAAAGAAGTGGAGAAATTTAGTAGTCCAAGTGCAGAATTCACCAAAACCTAGTAGACAGGTACAAAAATAAATTTAAAATATTAATGGAATGGAATATTTAATAGAATTTATCTCAAGGGGCTTATAATGGTGCAGTGGCAATGACTTTGGACTACAAATCCTGAGTGCTTTGCGAACATGGGTTCAAGTCCCACCAAAGCTGCAGGAATTTAAATTCAATCAATGAATCTGGAATTGAAAGCGAGATTCAGTAATGGTGACTGTGAAGCTATTGTCAATTGTAAAAATCCACCTGGTTCACTAATGTCCCTCAGAGAAAAAATTTGCTGTCCTTACCCAGAATGGCCTCCATGTGACTTCAGACCCATAGTAATGTGGTTGACTCTTAACTGCCCTCTGAAATGGCCCAGCAAGTGATCGATTCAAGGGTATTTATAGCCTAGCAAAAACTGCTGACTTTGCTGGATTTTAGGGGGAATGTGATGGTGTTCACAATAGTGACACCGGATTAGTTATCCAAAGGCCCAGACTAAAGCTTTGGAGATGTGGAGTGGGCTATTCTTACCAGATGCCTTCACCCCATCTGGTTTGAAGGTTTACTTTGTATATTTATGACTCAAAACTTAGAACTTGCCCAAACAATCATACCTTTATTGCCTGTGGTTTATTGTACATACATGGTCCAGTAATGCTGCAGATAGGAGTTTCAACACTCACCCTGTGCCCTAATTGTTCAGTTTCCCTGAGATACATACAGACAGACAGTCAGCTAGTCAGTCTGCCTTCTGCCGTTTTCTTCTTTGAGAGTGACCAGGCTATCCCCTTCTTCACCTTCACATCCGGCCTCAGCAGCAACATCCATGAGCACTGTAATGAAATAGGTCTCTGAAATATGGCCAATCTCCTTCTAAACCTGTAATTTTTGTCTATTCCAGTGCATGGGCAGTTTTACATCCTTCTTTCTCTTCATCTGATATGTTGTGACTGAAAAGATTTACTCCCCCCGCCTGTAACCAGTTTTGCCAAGCATACCATAGGATCAATTATAAAATGCAAAATTTCTACTTATTCAATAATATTATTATTTAGGTTACAGCAAAGGCCAATCTTACATCACAGATTTGGTTTATGTGTTTTTTCTCTTGGTGTTGGGAATATGTGACTACAAACATGCAGTTTTTGTAATGCTTTTTCTTTAAGATAAAGGTAATGCTGTTTTGCTTAGAATATTATTGAATTGCTTGCTATTATATGGCATCTACCTTTATAAATGTTGCATCTTATTTAGTGTTTATTCTTCATATCAAACAATATTGAATTAAATAACTATGCCCATGATGCAATCCTTAATTCTCAATATAGATACTCAATAGATTGGTGGCATGACCATTATGAATATTTATGTTGGTATCTTGTGTTGTATGGTGGAGTGTTATTAATATTTCATCACTGTAGATTTGTTATCTGGTATCCTTTTGAAATTTTTATTTCAAAATTTAACTAGACAATATGACGCCAATTGTTTTACATCTAACAGATGTTCACAGTGTAAACATGCTTCCCAGAAAATATAAAGTGCCCGTGGCTATTTTGTTTGAAGCTGCATTGCTTAATTGTACTGAGAAGCCCATAGCAACTTAAAAGGCAGTCTACAGCTCCCACCATCTTTCCTGAAAATATCAATTCACGTGATTTATGTATTTGAGCACAAAATTGCACGGGCAAGGTTTTCCATTGTGCTAGCAGAAGTTCAGTAGGCTAAATCTTGTCTTAGTGCAGCAATGTGGAACAGTTGGTAGTTATCTGTTTCCCTTGAACAGAAGTAAAAATGGGGACAGATGTAAATTATCTAGTGAGTTGCTATCGCCTGCTTTACACGATCACTCAAAGCCAATATCTACTTTATCCTAGGGTGTACATACATACAAACAGACAAATTTACAGAGAACGAGAGACAGAGAGACAAACTGTTTCCAGTCACATGTGGATCAGTAACCAAAGACTACACATTTGCAGAGCAGTGTGACATCTGGCAATGGAAATAACTGGATAGTTCTTTCAAAAAACTCAAATGACCAGAATGGCTACCTCCTGTGCTGTATCATTCTGTAATAGTATATTTGCATGCATTTCCTTCAACATTTTTCCATTATTAACTCATTTGCAATTTATAATGAAACCAATTATAGGAAGGATGTTATTAAACTGGAAAGAGCACAAGAAAGATTTACAAGGATGCTACCGAGACTGGAGGGTTAGAGTAATATGGATAGGCCGGGATTCTTTTCCCTGGAGCATCAGAAGCTGAGGGGTGACCTTAGAGACATTTATAAAATCGTGAGGAGCATGAATAGGGTGAACAACCAAGGTCTATTTCCCCAGGGTAGGGGAGTCCAAAACTAGAGGCATAGGTTTAAGGTGAGAATGGTAACATTTAAAAGGGACCTGAGGAGCAACTTTTTCACACAGAGAGAGGTGCAATTATGGAATGAGCTGCCAGTGGGAGTGGTAGAGGCAGGTACAATTGCAACATTTAAAAGACATTTGGACAGGTACATGAATAGGAGCAGTTTAGAATGATATGGGCCAAATGCAAGCAAATGAGACCAGTTCAGTTTAGGAAACCCGGTCGGCATGGACAAGTTGGGCCGAAGGGCCTGTTTCCAAACTGTATGACTCCATTACTCTACATTAATGTGTCATACTATAGTTACATTCCTACCCCACTCTCCAGTGGAGTTGCTGCAATGTTGGAAGTGTGTAATTCAAGCGTTGCTAGTTTACAGAGTGGTATTCCATGTTAAGAACACAAGAAGTAGGAGCAGGAGGGGGAGATACATCCCCTCAACACACCCCCCCACCCCAAATCTATAAGACCATGGTTGATCTGTCCCAAGTTTCATCTCCTCTTTCATGCCAGCTCCTCATAGCCCCCAACTCCTCAATATTTAAAAAATTTGTCTATCTCTTCTTTGAATACTTTTCATGATCTAGCCTCCAGAATTCTCTGTGGTAGAGAATTCAAGTCAATCACTCCTCTCTGATGGAAGAAATTCCTTTGGACCTCAGTTTTAAGTAAGTGTTCCCTCATTGTGTAACTATGTCCTCTAGTTCCCTCACTGGTGGAAATATCCTCTCGATATTTATCAAGGCACCTCAAAGCCTTTTGTGTTTCAATAAGATCACTCCTCATTTTTCTAAATTCTAATGAATAGAAGCCTATCCTCCTTTACAATTCCTGATACGTCAACCCTTCATCCCAGGAATCAGCCTAATAAATCTCTTTTGAACAGCCTCCATCAGCAGTGCATCCTTTCTTAAATAGGGGGACTGAAACTGTACTCCAGCCTCAACAATACCATGTACATTGTTAAGCCTCACTGGGATAGCAAGCTGAAAATCAAGCCTGCTATTCCCAGGGTCATGGCAAGGGTTAAAGATTTTTAAACAATGCAGAGTTCCCCAATTTACCTGACTTTCAGACACAGATTGACAAAAAGCATGGATTAACTTTCTGTACTTAACAAAAAATACGATTAATTAGGCTCATTCTGCAGGTAAACTATTATGAACCACCCACATATAATTCTACTAGTTAAAACTTTAATCCTGGGTGTAGTGGAAGAGGGAACTGGGAAGGTGGTTCAATAATCCCTGGTAGTTCAAAGGTTCTGGTCAGACAGTGGCTGAAGTTATTATTTACTGATCAGATCACTGCTTCTCACTCATCCTTCTCCGGATGCTTTCACTGGTTTGCAGGAGGCCTAGGGAGACATGTAGAATAAGGTATCTGACTTATTAATTATTATTAATTACAATTTGCAGCAACAGCTGAAAGAAAGATAAGTAGTTTATCTTCAGGCGTAATGTGGTCTTCACAATAGAGGACAGACACGGCTCTTCATCTGGTGGAGATCTGATCACTTCTCACTAACTTATTCTCATTTTTCATAGAATCTCTGCAGTGTGGAAACAGGCCCTGTTGCCCAACAGGTCCACACTGACCCTCAGAGCATCCCAACCAGACCCAATAACCCACCTAATCTACCCATCCCTGAAACACCACGGGCAATTTAGTATGGCCAATCCAGCTAGCCTGCATATCTTTGGATTGTGGGAGGAAACCGGAGCACCTGGAGGGAACCCACGCTGACACAGGGAGAATGTGCAAACTCAGACAGTCGCCTGAGGATGGAATCGAACCCGGGTCCCTGCCGCTGTGAAGCAGCAGTCTTAACCACTGAGCCACCGTGCCACCCCAAAATGCACTTGAGCTCATGTCCAAACTGTTCAGCTTCCTGAGAAACAATCAGATAGTTGTTGGCAGGCAGTAGGCTTTTGACATCAATAGCTGGTCACTAGCCCAAGGACCAATCAGCTATTTGTTGCTGGCTGAGTCACAATCTGTACACACCCTTTGGCTCCAGCTCATCTGCAAACTCCAATTACTGCTTGAATAAGCAGTGTGAATGATGCTTATACTGAATGTCGGTTTGTTTGCTTTTAAACACTGCAATAATCCTTCAGCAATCCTTGGTTTTGGGAACAGTTCTTTTCCCATTCCAGTTCACATTTAAAATACTGAAAAATAAAAAGGCACAGTCTTGACAATAGATGTAACAAGACTTTCCTGTTTTTAAAATCCAACCTAGAAATAAAGCTCAAAATTCTATTTGCCTTCTTAATAATATGCTGCATCTGGGAATCTTTTGTGTTTTATGCACAAGAATACAAAGATCTCTCTGTGCTGCACTTCTTGGAGTCTCTCTACGTTTGAATTATAGTCTGCATTTTGATTCTTCCTACCAAAGTACATGACATCATGCTTGCCTACATTAAACTCGACCTGCCATATTTTTGCCCACTCATTCAACCCTTCAATATCCCTTGCAGATTCCTCATGCCCCGTCACAACATGCCCTCCCACCTATTTTTGTATTATCAGCAAATTTGGATTCAATACAATCTGTCCCATCCTCCAAGTTATTAATATAGATAGTAAATAATTGAGGTCCTCAGACAGATTCTTGAGGCATTTTGCTAGCTACATATTTGCAACCTGAGAAAGAGCATGAATCCACCCCTTTGTCTGTGTGTTAACCAATTCTCAATCCATGCTAATACATTATCCCCACTACGATGAGCTCCTTTCTTGTGCAAATAGCCTTTTATGTGGTACATTATCAAATGCCTTGTGGAAATCTAAATCCAATCCACTGGTTCTCTTTTGTTAACTCTGTTTGTTATAAGTGTGAAGTTAAGAATTTATTAATGATATATAAAATAGTTGAGATCAACTTTGAAATGGGTATCAAACCATATCTGCACACCTTGATCTCCTAATTATCTGCAGTTTTACTGACTTTTATGAGTTCAGAACTTTAAAGTACTATGAATTATTCTGCTGTGAAGTGAAAGCTAAGTCACTTTAAGGCCAGAAAGCATAATTGCTGCTAATAAATACTGGAATCCACATATAGATTATGTAAAAATTTACAAATGTGCACGCACCCCTATTTTGTGTTCCTGGAGAGGTTTTCAATTTATTTTTTGTAGTATAACACGATATTTGGAGTGATAAACAAAATGTATTGACGGTAAATAACTCCTAGGTAAGCTAATTTGGTGGTTATGGGTATGAAAACTGTATTTATCACACATCTAATGCACTCCATATCTGACATTACACTTTGTTTTATACATATAAATAGTTATTTTGCAAAGAAAAGCTGGGCAGTTACCTAGAATCTGGACCAATTGTAATAGTCAAAGTTCCTTAGCAAAGTAACAGTTACACTCTTACTGACCTGAACCTAATGATTAACCTAGAATCAAAGAATCCAACAACACTTACAGCAAAAAAGGAGGCCATTTTGCCCCTCTAGTCCATACTATACTATGAAGGGAAACTTACTTACTTCCACCGACTTCCTACTTTGCAGTTTCTCTACAATCTTCTCACCTCCAGGTATTTTTAATGTTCTTCCATGGGATGTGGGCTTTGTTGGCACGGTCAGCATTTGTTGCCCATCTCTGTTGCCCTTGGGGATGTGGTAGTGAGCCCTCTTCTCAAACCAGTGCAGTTTGTCTGGTGTAAGAGGAGGCGATGGCCTAGTGGTATTGTTGCTGGACTATTAATCCAGAAAGTCAGCTCATGTTCTGGAGACCCAGGTTCAAATCACGCCATGGCAGATGGTAGCATTTGAACCTGGAATTGAGAATCTACTGATGAGCATGAAACCATTGTCGATTGTCGTGAAAAATTCACTTGGTTCATAAATTCTCTGCAAAGCAACGTCAAGAAGGCAGCTCACCATCACCTTCTCAGGGGCACTATTAATGGGCAATAAATGCTGGGCAGCCAGCAATGCCCATGTCCCATGAATGAATTTTAAGAAAAAGTTCACTACAGTGTTATTGGGAAGGGACTTCCAGGATTTTGATCCTGCCTGAATGCACTGGGTACAGCAAACACTATGGCAATGGCAACATACTGGCTGTAACACTGACGTCTTGTGATCACAGAGTAGCCATGCCTTCAGTAAACGGTTCCAGTACAACAACAACATCGGTATCTATCCAACAATATGGACAATTTCTCAGTTACACTCACTCACAAAAAGCAGGTCAAATCTAATACGGCCAACTACTACTCCACAGGTCTAGTTTAGATCATCATTTAAAGTAGTGGAGGGTTTTGCTGACAGTGCTTTCAAGCAGAGTGTTTTCTGTAGTAATCTGATTACCCATGCTTAGTTTAAGTTTTGTCCGGGCAACTTGGCTCCTAGCCTTATTACAGCCTTGTCAGAAGAGTTTAACTTGAAGTGACATAAAAGTAGCAGCCTTTGATATTAAGGCAGCATTTGAGAGATGATGGCATCAAGACACTTTAACAAACTTAAAGCCATTGAGAATCAGGGGAAAGCTCTCCACTGGCTGGAATAATAACCAGCCCAAATGAAAATGGCCGTGATTATTTTAAGCTCATCACCTAATTGCTAGGACACTGATGCAGAAGTTCCTCAAGATATTGTCTTAGGCCCAACTATCTTCAGCTGCTTCCTTCCATTAAGAGGTCAGAAATGGGGATGGGCATGTTGATTGCCCAATGAGCAGTACAATGTAGGACTCCATGGCTGTAGAACAAGACTGGACAACATTCAGGCTTATGCTGGCAGGTGACAAGTAACAATTGTGCCACAGCATTGGTTTTGCCATTAAAACAAAAAGCCACCCACATAAATATTGAGGCTGCAAGTGCACATCTGAGGCTACGAATCCTGTGGTGAATAACTCACTTCATGACCCTACCATCAACAAGGCACAAGTCAGAAGTGTGATGGAACTTGCCAGTGTGAACGCAGGCACTTGGGAACATCACTGCCTGCAAGTTTCCTCTCCAAGCCCCACACTCCCCTGATGAGGAAACATTACAACTAGGTCAAAATCCTCCCTGCACCACACATACTGCAGCAGTTCGAGAAGGTGTCTCACCACCACCTTCTCAAGTGCAATTGGGAATAAGCAATTAGTACTGACCTTGCCAGTGATGCTCACAATATAATGAAAAATTCTCCCTGAGCATTTCCCCTTTCCATCACTTTCTCCTTCTTTTTGGTGTTCTTAAAAGGTGTCCCACTTTTGGTTTTGGTTTTGGTCACCTGTCCTAATGTGACTTGGTGTTGAATATTCTCTGATAACGTGCCTGTGGAGCACTGTGGGACATTTCTACTGCATTAAAGACAACAAAATAAACGCACGTTATTGTGTTGTTGAAGGAAGAACTGCAAAGAGCCTGTGGCAGGGACTGTTTAGCGTGAAGACTAAATGAAATACTGTCTGTGTTATTTGAACAAATTAAATATTGAGTGAGGCACAATCAGGCTGTTGACACATGCTGATCTGAGCTGTGGTTTGCTCATATTCTTCCTAGGCATCAAGGATCTCCAAACCTACACCCAGGTCACTGAAAGTGAATCTGAGTCAACCAGTGATGCACCATCTGAGGAGATGTTCCCATTAAGGTCACAGGTAAGAACAATGTTAGCTAATTCTACACATGCACCATCCCACCAACAGTTAGACTATGAAATGCTGGAAGCAATCAGAAGTAAACTATTCACGAAGAAGAATGATATGGATGATGGTAAACTAAGGGAGGGGTATGTTGATATTCTGTGCATATTGATATTAAGATGGAGGAGGCATTGGGTGTCTTAAACAACCTTAAGGTAGATGAATACCCAGAGCCTGATGGGGTCTATCCCAGGATACTGAAAGAAGCATGGGAGGAGATTACTGGGATCTTGACAGAGATCTTCATATCCTCTTTAGCCACAGAAGACTGGAGAATAGCCAATGTTGTTACTTTGTCAAAGAAGGGCAACAGGGATAATCCAGGAAATTGTAGGCTGTTAGGCCTTACATCAGTGGTCAGGAAATTATTAGAGAAGATTCTTGGACACAGGATTTACTCAAATTTGGAAAAGAATGGACTTTTTAGGGATAGTCAGTGTGGCTTTGTCCAGGAGAGGTCTTGTATTACAAATTTGATTGAGATTTTTTGAGGAAGTGACAAAGGTGATTAATGAGGGTGGGGAAGTGAATGTTGTCTACATGGACTTTACTAAAGCATTTGACAACGTCCCCCATGGTAGGCTAGTCCAGAAGATTAAGTCACATGGGATCCACAGTGAGTTGGTAAGTTGGAAACAAAAGACTGGATGTCTGTGGCCTGTCGTGCTCCGCAAGTGCTGGTACCTCAGTTGTTTGTAATATATATAAACAAGTTAGTTGAAAATGTAGGCAGTTTGATTAATAAGTTTGAAAATGACACAAAAATTGGTGGAGTTGTGGATGGTGAGGAAGGTTGTTAAAGGATTCAGCAGCTTATTGATCAGATGGAAAGTTGCGTGGAGAAATGCAGTTGGGGTTTAATTCGGACAAGTGTGAGGCGATGCATTTTGGAAGATCAAAAGCAAGAGGAAAGAATACAGTAAATGACAGGAACCTTAGGAGCATTGATATACAGAGGGATTATGAGGTCCAAGTCTATTGCTTCCTGAAAGTGGCAACACAAGTGGATAAAATGGTAAAGAAGGCATAAGGCATGCTTAACTTCATCAGTTGGGGCATTGAGTGTAAAAGTCATGTTGCAGTTGTATAAACCTTTAGTTTCTCTGAATTTGGAGTATTGTGTGCAGTTTTGGTCCACCACACTATAGGAAGGATGTAGAGGCTTTAGAGAGGATGCAAAAGAGGTTAACCAAGATGTCACCTAGATTGGAGTGTATTAGCTATAAAGTGAGGATGGACAAACTTGGATTGTTTTCAGTAGAGCATCAGAGGCTGAGGTGTGACCTGATAGAAGTATATAAAATTTATGAGAGACATGAATTGGGTGAATAGTTGGAGTCTTTTTCCCCCAGGGTGGAAATGTCAAATACAAGGGGGCATACGTTTAAGATGAGAGGGGGTAAGTTTAAAGGGGATGTGTGAGGAAATTTTGTTTTACACAGAGGGTGGTAGGTGCCTGAAACACGCTGCCAGGAGAGGTGGTAGAAGCAGATACAATTGCAATGTTTAAGAGACATTTAGACAGACAAATGAACAGACAGAGATTAGTTTAGAATGGCATCATAGTTGGCACAGACCTGGTGGGTCAAAGGGCTATTCCCACACTGTCCTATGTTCTATGAGTGGAAGAGGGGAAGAAAATCAGCCAATCCTTTACCCACGCCCTGTTTTACTTCGGGTCTTTAACATGGTAAAAGGCTATTCAGCCAAGCTGGTCTGTGACTGTTTACTTCCCATGCAATCCTCCTCCCTTTAATCTCACTTTATCAGTTTAACTTCACATCTCTTTCTTTGTCATGCACTTCTCCAACCTTCTTTTAAATACGTTTGTTAATTGACTCTACCCCTCCATGTTAGAATCAGTTCCATGTTCTCAACACTTCCGAGAGGTTTCTTCTGATAAACGAATTGGATGTTTTTGATTATATTTTTGGCCCCTGGTTTTTATTTTATTTCATCCTGGGTTGTGAGTGTCCCTGGTTGGGCCTGCAATTCCTGCCAATCTATAATTGCCATTGATAAGGTCGTAGTGAGCTGCTTTCTTGAATTGCTGCAGTCCATGTAGTACAGGGATAGCCAAGGTGTTGTTAGGGAGGGAGTTCCATGATTTTGACCCAGTCATAGTGCTGCAACAATGATACTTTTCCAAGTTAGAATGCTGTGTGAATTGGAGGGGAACTTGTTTTTTCATGCATCTTGCTAACACGTACAAGTTTCTCTTCTAGGTCCAACTGATTGAACCCTTTTGTAACTGTAAGGATCTTTGTCAGGCTTCCTGTTCAGCCATTTATTTGCAGAGGGAAGAACTCCAGCCTGTTTAGGCTTCTCTACAAGAATCTCAATTATGACTTAAATTCCTGTGAATCTGAATCCCACCTTATCTGGTGTTGCTGTACACCTGTATTAATATAAAGTCCTGAACAGTACACAGTAAACTAACTGTGGTCAAATCAGGGACAAAAACAGAAGTTGCTGGAAAAGCTCAGCAAGTCTGGCAGCATCTGTGAAGAAAAAATCAGAGTTAACATTTCGGGTCCGGTGATCCTTCCTCAGAACTTCTTTAAGGTTAGATCTGAGTGCACGGAGCGCAGTCAGTTCGGAGGGAGATAGGTTGGATTTGGTGAGAGGGGCAGAGAAATTGAGGTGACTAATATTACATCGACAGTTCTCAATGAACAGATTGAGTGCAGGTAAAAGGCCAGAGGGAGGGGTCCAGGTGGAGGGGAGAGTGTTGGAACTGGGCGAAAGGGTCTGTGGGACGGGGAGAGGACTCTTGTCCAAAGAAATGAGCACGGAGGTGAAGACAGTGGAAGAAGAGTTTGACGTCATGTCGTGCCCTAAATTCATCAAGGTGGGGTCGCAGAGGAATAAAGCTGAGGCCTTTGCTGAGTACGGAGCGTTCAGCATCGGAAAGCGGAAGGTTGGGAGGGATGGTGAATACCCAACAGGAGGTGGAATTGGGAGAGGGGACGGAGTCAGAGGGAAGGGGAGAGGAGGAAGGTTCCGGAGGGCCATAGGTATCTTTGAGTTGTTACATCTTGCGGGCCTTGATGCCTGAAAGGAAAGTTTCTTGTTAGCACAACGAATGAGCCGGAGGATGAAGTGGAACTGCGGAGTGGTGCAGCCCTGAGCCAGCACGTTACGATGCTGTTGGAGAGAAAGGTTGAGAGTGCGCATGTGACGCTGCATGGCACTGAGTGTGGGTCTCAGGATGCAGTGAGAGCAGCTGTCTGTGGAACGTTGAACATCACAGAGATATCTGTGATTCTGGGAGGATTCAAAATATGAGGGATAAAACTTCAGTTGGAATCCACATGGGGTGAGACTGAGTCGAAGGCAGTCACTGAGGAATGTGATATGGCTGTGGAAACAAGTTTTAGCAAATACTTGGCCAAACAGCAGGAGTGTCAGTGAAATTAATGTTGGTGGGCAAGAAGAAAGATTGAAACGGAAATCCCATCAGCGAGAGGAGCAGAACTTCTTCAAGGTGGGCATGCACAGAAGAGATGTGGCAGTGAGTTAAATACTAAATAAAAACCAAAAGAACTGTGGATGCTGTAAATCAGGGACAAAAACAGAAGTTGCTGGAAAAGTTCAGCAGGTCTGGCAGCATCTGTGAAGAAAAAAATCAGAGTTAACGTTTCGGGTCCAATGACCCTTCCTGTGGTCAAATCAGGGCTCATTTCAAGTTTAACATAATTCCTCTGAATATTAATTGACTCCCACCAGAAATGTACTCCAATTGTTGAGAATCTTTGGTTTACCATCTTTTTTCCAAGTTTGACATATTCTTACTGTAAGATGAGACACCAATTGTCAACCATCAGGACAGAGAGCCTTCTGATAGGTGCTGTTTCCCTCTGTCGAGGTATGGTGTTTATACTCTAAATGGATCATACCTCTCTGGTGGACATGAATGATCCCATGACATTAGTTTGAGGAAGCGCAGGGTGTTTTCCATGTCCTGGTCTGATCATTATTTATTCCTGAAACAACATCATTAGGATATAACAGATTATCTAGCCTATATCACACTGCTCTTGTGGGACCTTGCTGTGCACAAATTGCCTACTGCACTTCGTATGTTACAACTACACTTCTAAAGTGTTTGGGAATGTCATAGAGTCATACAGCATAGAAACAGACCCTTCAGTTCAACTAGTCCATGCTGACCATGTTCTCAAACTAAACTAGTCCAACGTGCCTGCACTTGGCCCATATCCCTCCAAACCTTTCCTACTCATGAACTTATCTAAATGTCTTTTAAATGTTGTAACTATACCCACATCCACCACTTCCTGTGGAAGTTCATCCCACACTCAAACTGCTTTCTGTGTGAAAAAAGTTGCCCCCATGTCCTTTTTAAATCTTTCTCCTCACACCTTAAAAATATGTCCCCTACTTTTGCACTCCCCCACCTGAGAGAAAAGACCCTTGTCATTCACCTTATCTACGCCCCTCATTTTATAATCCTCCGTAAGGTCACTCCCCAACTTCCTACGCTCCGGTGAAAAATGTCCCAGCCTATCCAGCCTATTTTTTAGAAGGTTCTTAAAGGCTGTAAAGAAATGCAGGATTTCTTTCTGTGAACTTCCTTTCAATTTCAGTTTTGCTGAAAATTCCAACTCATTTTCATAAGGAGCAGTGTTTATTGGTGAGCCCAAGCCCACTGCCTTATGAAGCATGGTCATTTGAGTTGAGTATATTGTCAACATTCATTGTAAACATACCATGAGAATATATACATCCTTTACTGCCTCAGAGGACAAAAAATATTAAAGACATATATAAAGACATTAACTGTTAAGCAGGTTTTTGCATAAACTACGATGGAACTATTAACAGAATGAAGGAGGAAGGGGTGGACAGCAATGTTATCTCATGAGTTATGAATTTTTAACTCTCAAACAACATTATTCAAATCAATGATCTGGTCATTATCAGATAGCTGTTGTGCGAGCTTGCTGTGTGCAAATTGGCTGTAGTGTTTCCTACATTACCACAGTGGCTCCAATTCAAAAAGTACTTACAAAGTATTTTGGGATGACCTGAGGTTGTGAATGATATTGTTTAAATATAAGTTCATTCCTTTGTTCTTTGAAATGAGTGATAGGTTTCTGATGTATTGATGGCGTTTGTCTTCTCCTCATTCAGGATTATCAAAATATCCGAAAGAAGAGGAAGATGCGGAATATGGCACTGCAGCAAATGAAGCAGGAGGAAGTAAAACGACTCCATAGGGCACAGGTAAATCCAGACGAGTCAGTGTCACCTTCAGTAACAGGGAAGAATACATGAGGAATGCTCATGTATCTCAATGAGACCTTCTAGTTTTGAGACTTGAGAATATGGCAAAGTAATATGACTAGAGGTCTATGAGTTGTAAAACTTTGAGAATGATTTTAATATTTTCACTGTTGAAAGCAGTTCTGTCCATCATACTTGCGTTGTTTTAATTTGTGGATGAATGGCCTGAATTCATTTAAGATGGTGGTGATGCACCTACCCACACATGTTGCAGTGGCTCAACACCACATCACCAAGGCGCAGTTAGGGATGGAAGTAAATGCCCACATCCATGGACAAATGGAAAATGTTCTGTACAACTGGACCTGATGATTCAAGTACATATTCCCTCATCTTAAAATCTGTTGACCACACAATGAGGAGTTTTAATAGTCACATGTTAGTTATCTTTGTGAACTTGCATATCATCAGTGCTCCTGATGGTTTATCTACTTTGGGATGAGTTCTATTTTCTTTCTTGTGCTGTATTTGGCGGTGGAGAGGACATTTAATCATAAGGAAGTGTGGCATATGAGTATCCACCTGATGCCCTCCCACCTCCGGTGAAATTATGTCCAGGGTGCAAAGGCTCACAGTCAGGATTCCTACCCAACCATCAATTGAGGCCCTTAAGTAGGCAGTTAATGATTACTTGAAGGCCTCTTCCTTCCTCTGCTGGTATTAAACTTAATGGTGGGAAAGACAGTCATAGCACAGCAAGCAAACCCGTACCAACTGTTCATAGAAGTGGGATGGATGGTACCATTAAATGCCTGATTGAGGGATTTAGCATTGGAAGTTGGGGGGATGGAGGGGGTGGGTGTCCGGGCATCATGCTAGCTGAAAGCCATATCCTGTTCTTGCTGCCAAACCTGCTCCTCCATCCCCTTGCCCTGCAAACCTCCCTAACTGTAACCCTCTCGCTATGACTTACCTCTGGCTTAGGCTGCTCCTTGATCCTGGACCTCCGGATGATGACATTTCTACAGCAGGTAACACCTCTGCCATGATGCTGAGGGAAGAAAAGAGCTAAGGGCCTCTGATTGGCCAGCAGCTCACAATGGGCAAGATTCCTATCCTCGGGGTCCAGCAAAAGCCTGTTGGTGCCTATTTAAGTGCCTGAGAGACACTTAGTCCCAGCAGGCCTACCTGGAGAAGACACCATCTTTGTGTTACCGCCTTTCCAACCAGCGGGTGAGATGCTGCAAAGCCTACTTAAAATTTTACCCTTTGATTAAACTGTCTCCTCCCAATCTAAGTTAGTACTTTTTTTCTGCCTTGTGAAGGCATTTTCTGATAAAGAGAGGTCCTCCTCATTAGTACATCAGCCTCTAGCACCTCTCACCACCTTTCCACTCCCTCCATATTGAGTATTTGAATGGGTTCAGCTGGTTTTCTCCATAGAAGAGTGAGAGGTGACCTGATAAGTTTCTGTAACATTTTGAAGGATTATGATAGAGTGGATGTGGAGAAACCATTTCCTAATGTGGGTGAGTCCAGAACAAAGGGGAATAGAAATAAGTTTATATAGAAATGATGTAATTCTACATCACATGGAGTGGATAAGGTGACTAGCACATGCATTTAATGGAATAATCATGGAGCATTGGATGTTGAGAGGTGGCCTGATAGAAATTTAGAAAATAATGGGGGGTATAGATAGATTTAATGGTCATTGACTTTTCCCTAGGATGGGGGATTTCAAGACTAGGGGTCACATCTTTAAGACGAGAGAAGAGAGATTTAAATAAGACAAGAGGGGCAAATATTTTACACCAGGGGGTGGTTTGCGTGTGGAATGAACTTCCTTAGGAAATGGTGGATATGGGTACAATTATAATGTTTAAAAGATATTTCGATAAGTACGTGAATAGGAAACATTTGGAGGGAAATGGGTCAGGAGCAGGCAGGTGGGACTAGTTCAGTTTGGATTATGTTTTACATGACTGGTTGAGCTGAAGTCTCTGTTTCCATGCTGTGTGGCTCAATGACTCGCTGACTGTATGTGGGATGTTAACCAAGTGTTTCACCTGGTCCCATCAATTTGCTAGCAGGCAGGTTCAGTTACAATTAGCCGCATTATGCATTTCCTGCGTAATGTTTCTTCGGTAACACAAGTAATGCTGCTGATGTTCCTGAAACCAGCAGGAAGTGGAGAGTTCACCTAATTGTTTGAGAAAGCTCTAAGTTTTTTTTAACTGAAAATATCCTGTGTATGTTGAATAGCTGCTTAAAAAGGATTACTCTGACAGATCATTCAGCGTCAGCTCCAGGAGGTGGAAGAGAAGCAGCGAGTGCTGGAGGAACGTGGTGTGCTGTTGGAGAAAGCTCTTCGGGGCGAGTCAGGTACTTACCTCTGCTTGGCTTCTATTCTGTATGGACTCTCTGGTTGTGGACATCACTGGGAAAGTTGATATTTACTGCCCATCCCTGTTTGACCTTCAGCCAATGGTAGTAAACTGTCTTCTTGAACCGTTGGCAATTTAATACATCTGATTGGTTTTGCTGGGCTATTTCAGGGAGCAGTTAAGACTCAATTTAAAATGTGTGGATCTACAGTCATATACAGGCTCAGATGAGTTAAAGATGACAGGTTCTCCTTCTTAAAGTTGCATTGGTGAGCCACCTGGGTTTATAACTTTAGGGTTCCTGTACTTTTCATTTCCAGATTTCTTAATCTGCTATGGTGCTTTATGTTTCTAGATCTTGTAAATATTAGTCCAGCAATTTAAGCATTACACATTTGTCCCTGGTTTTTCTACATGAGGCTTTGTTCTCATTTCTATTAAGTTTTAATCAGTTTCTATTATTTACAGCCTACAGTTTGTAAAAACAAAACTGAAGAAGATGAATAAATTGTCCCCTGATTTCATGTAACCCACTGAGATATTTTATGCAAATTTTTAAATAAGGGCTAAATTCTAAATTGAGGGATCTTGTAGCACACGTGGATGTCCATTGAGCCTATACCAACATTTTGAAACAACTGTCCAATTAACCTGACTCCTCAGACTTTCCCCAGAACCCTGCAAAGTAGTATTCTCCAAATACATGTTCTATTTAATATAAAATCTTATTCCACAATTTCAAGTGGCTTTGTAAATGGCCACTTGTTCTGGTTTTCCCATAAGTGAAAATCTTTACACTATTAAAATCCTTTCATATTCTTGAACATAGAACATAGAACATAGAACATTACAGCGCAGTACAGGCCCTTCGGCCCTCAATGTTGCGCCGACCTGTGAAACCAAGCTGAAGCCCATCTAACCTAAACTATTCCATTATCATCCATATGTTTATCCAATGACCATTTAAATGCCCTTAAAGTTGGCGAGTCTACTACTTTTGCAGGCAGGGCATTCCACGCCCTTACTACTCTCTGAGTAAAGAATCTACCTCTGACATCTGTCCTATATCTATCACCCCCTCAATTTAAAGCTATGTCCCCTCGTGCTAGCCATCACCATCCGAGGAAAAAGGCTCCCACTGTCCACCCTATCTAATCCTCTGATCATCTTGAGATCTTTTATCAGGACAAACTTCAGACATCAGTTCTCAGCTGCAATTGGAAGTGCAAAGTCACATTAGTTCTTGTCTCTGCAAACCCAACCTGGGAAAAATTGCCCTGGAATTTGGAATTTTCAGTCTGGGGCCAGGGTTGCTGGGCATCAGGCTGAATGACCCCAGATGACTGTGGAGGCTGCTGGGTGCAGAGGTAGGCTGGTAAGAAGGCCACCATGTTGAAGGTCTTAAATAAATAACAAAGCCACCCTAACACTTCAAACTGCTTCATTCACAGTGTGGAAGCAAGCCATTTGGCCCATCAAGTGCACACCGACCTTCTAAAGAGCATCCCACTCAGACCCACACCCCTACCCTATAACCCTGCACTTCCCATGGCTAACCCACCTAGCCTACACATCCCTGGACACCACGGGCAATTTAGCATGGCCAGTCCGCCTAACCTGCACATCTTTGGACTGTGGGAGGAAACCGGAGCGCCCGGAGGAAACCCACACAGACACGGGGAGAACGTGCAAACTCCGCACAGACAGTCGCCCGAGGGTGGAATCAAATCCCAGTCCCTGGCGCTATGAGGCAGTAGTGATAATCAATGAGCCACCGTGCTGCCTGTCACTGTGCCACTCCTCATGCCCCATTCATGACAGCCCATATCACTTCATAACCCCCATCAAGTTACATAGGCCCTCATACCATCCATCTCAACCTATTCCTTTCTTTCCATCCCCATAATCCCCATGCACCTACCCATCATGCTTTACCCTTACAGTACATCCATTACACACTGTGGGCACACTACAGGAGCACATGCTATGATGAAGTGAAATAAAGTTTTCAGTGTTTATTGCAGATTTAATTTTTAAAACAACCGTCCTTCCTAAAAATTCATTTACTGCATCTACATTTTTTTACCTATATAATTCCGTAAAAGAATAATCATTAATTCAAATGTATTAAGCCTTAAAGTAAACAGGCATTGGAATTCACACAATCCTACTTCAAATGGTCTATAGCAACTTGGAACTTTCAATCAAGAAAGGTACTACTGTAATAATGGAAAATTATGAGATCAGTGACATAGGCTAATCATGTAATGGAAACCCTCAGCCTCACATCAACAGACAGAGAGATATAGCAAGCAGCAATTATTTTTATCACTCAATTTTTTGTGTGGGAGTTTTAAAACCTTGACAGTGGTATTTGACAATTTTCATAACTGCTTTTGACATTCTTGACAGTTCCAATGAGCTTGACAGTTAATGAATTTATGTGCTTTTAAAGCACATTCATGTCTGCTTTTAACAATTCTAAAGGACACATTACCTCTCCTAAGGGATACTTGATCTTTCTGACAGGACAGCTTACCTCTCACAAATGGCAGATAACCTCCCTCAAAGGTGTTCCAGGATTATATCCAAAGAGCTATCCTACCTCTCCTAAAAACTAATCAAAGTTTAGACCTGCATCTATCAGAACAAATCTGTATATGTTGGCTGTCACGCACCAACATTAGATGTAAGTGGAAGCAGCTGCTTATTTATATGGACAGTTGCCAGCATGAAGTGCCATGTATGGAACCTGACCTGCCCCCCACAAAACTAACAGGTGCCATATTTGGGGATGGTATTTCCAATTTTCAGCCTCATCTACCATTTCTGCAAAAGAGAGGCTCTTTCTGACTGTAAAAATATAGGCCTCAGTCTTCTTTCTAGACAAAAGAGTTCCACTTTCCTGATAAGTATAACAACTTCGTCCTGATAAATCCTTTTTGTACCATTTCAAAACGTTCCTCTACATTACTTTTTTCTAAAATGGAGACCAGAACTGCACACAATACTGCAAAGTGGGGACGAACAAAGGTCCAATACAAACACAACAGTAATTCCAGTTTCTCAGTTCAATACATTTAGAAACAAATCAGTATTTGTTGCTCTTTTATCACCCTGTTAATGGTCTGTTATTTTTAGTGACTTATGCATCTTTAGTAACAACTCATTGTTCATTTTAATTCCCCTATTTAGATAGTTAATTTTGTAAGTAGCATGTAGCTTCCTCCAATTTTCTGCAAAAATGTTCTACCCCATGCTTCTGAGCTTGAAGTTTATTTGCAAGGTGTATACCTCATAAAAGGTTGGTTAGCTCAGCTGGCTGGACAGCTGGTTTGCAACATAGAGTGATGCCAACAGCATGGGTTCAATTCTTGCACCAGCTGAGGTTACCATGAAGGACTCTCCTTCTCAACCTCTCCCCTCGCCTGAGGCATGGTGACCCTCAGCTTAAACCACCATCAAGTAGCTCTATAATCTGGTAAGACAATGGCAGCTTTACTTTTATTACCCATTTTGCAAGACTATTGATGTCTTCCTATGTTTTATTGCAATCCTCCTCTGTGTTTCAAATTGGATACCATTTGAAAATTTTGAAATTGTGCTTCTAATTCCTGAGTTCACAACGGTGATGAACATGTTTTCAGTACTGATTTGTATGGAGCATCATTTCCCACTATTTGTCACTCTGAATCTTTTAACCCCTACTGGATTTTTTTCTATTCATTCTGCTACCTGTCACCTGATGCCACAAACTTTAATGTTATTCATAGGCTTATTGTGCAGTCCATCGATTAAGATGCTTTGGAAATTACCATGGCTATTGAAAACCGAGGGCTAACTGTTCCAGAGATAGTTACAATAGCAATACAATAAAATAGTTTTCTCTCATCAAGGTCATTTCATACATCTTTCAACTTTCTGAATGCTGAACCTTGTAATATCTATCTTTTCATACTATTATGCTGCTTTGATAATCTGTCATACTATAGGACAGGGATTTTGACAGCACATCTTGCTATTGCCTGACAATGTTATTTTTCTTTAATTATAGTCTCATATTCTCTGTGTTACATGCTATATCCTGCTGATGCACTCTTCTCCAACTCGGTAAACTTTGGTTTATCCACTGCTGTCGATGCCAAAACTTGCACCAAGTCCAATTTGCTCATTACCTCCGTGCTTGCTGACCTATATTGGTTCCAAATTAAGCAACACCTTCATTTAAAACTTCTCATCTTTGCTTTCAAATCCCTCTTGCCCCTTCCTATCTCCTCCAGCCCCATGACCCTCAAAGATCTCTGTGCTGCTATAATTCTGGCCCCTGGCACTTCACTTTTTGCAGCTATGCCATCAGCTGCCTGAACTGTAAGTTCCAAAATTCTCTTTGCAAACCTTTCACACTCTGTGCCTCTATCTCCTCCTTTGAGATCTTAGATTCTATTCTTTGCCCTCTTATTTCCTAACGTGGCTCAATGTCACATTTGTGCCTGATAACATTCTTATGACAGACCTTGGGATACTTTGCTATATCACATGTCTTTCATGGGATGTGAGTATCACTAGCAACAGCAGTTTTTATTCCCCATCCCTAATTGTCTTTGAGAAGAGAAAATAACGATGAGTTGCCTTCTTGAAATCCTGCAATCCATGAAGTTAAAATATGTGTTCCAGTTGTTGTTGACAATTAAAGCCTGTGGGACATATTAGTAATGAATGATTCTTTTGTTGTTAGAAATTAGCCCATTGCCAGAGCGAATGGGACTGAGGCAAGCAAGCTGATAGAGGGCACGCTGTCTAGGGATTGCCAACTTTGGCAGCATGCAGGATGAGTTTCCACCACATGACCTATCATTTCCAACCACCATCAAACTGCCTTTTTTGGTTTCATTCCTTTTTATTTCGATTTCTTTCATTTGTTAAAAAAAAAAATTTATTGCCTCGGATTTACTCAGACATTAATCTTTACATTCCTGGACACTAGATGCTAGAGAGTCAGCAGCCTTGCAATTCTTTGACCCCAACAATTTAGTGCGATAACTGCCGAATTGTGATCTTCAGTGAACAATTGAAATTTTCTCCATAGAAACTGGAACCGTACAACCTACAATTGTGTAATTTTGCAACGTGATAGGCCTCAAAAGACAAAGGAGTTTCCTGTGTACCATTAGATGACCAGACCTGTGTTTTATATTTTTTTTAGGTCAATGTTTGTTTTATGTAATGGTGCACAGTTCCTGTTTTGGCTGAGGTTTGATTGTTTTGTGAAATGTTCTTAGGTGACTCATTCTGCCCACTAATCCAAAACATGAAGATTCTTTCAAATTGTAATTCATGCTTTCCTTTCATGTTGCAAAGTGGTTTTAAAAGCCTGGCTTGCTGTGTTAATTCCCACAGGCAGTGCTAACAGTCAGGAAATTGAACGAAAACACATGATTTTCATAATTTAAAATTCCATGTGACAAGGAACTGTGAGGTGGTCTCAACAACAATGACCTCCATTCATGTAGCATCTTTTGAAATGGTGAATTGTTCCAAGGTTTTGCAGAAGTGGAATTAGAAACAAAATTTGACACCAAGCCACAAGCAAAATTTTGACACTGAGCCACACAAAGAGGTACCAGAACTAGTAATATTGGTCAAACAGATGGGTTGGAAGGCACACATGTTCAAGGAGCATATTCCACATTTAGGGGCCACAGGCACCTGAAGCCTCAGCCAGCAATGTTGAGCAAACAAAATCAAGAGAAGCATGAAAGGCCATAATTGGTCGCTGCAGAGATAGAGTCTCTAGAGAAAATTAAACTGGTGGATGAGAATTTTACCTCAGCAAAAACATTAAGAAGCTTTAAAAACACAAAAGTTCATTTGAAGGAAAAAATGCAAATAAATTATTGTGAAATATCTAATTTAGTGAAATGTTTGTGTTGATTAAACATTTATTTGGAAATTAGAAATTTAAATACTGAGGGAAAATAAGAAGTTTTCAGAAATTCTTTTGTCAATTTATGGGGATCTAGTGTAATAGATTCTAATCATACTGTAAATAGCTATCTCAATGCACACCACAGGAGTACTCTGTACTGCAGGTACATTAAAACATATTTTTCATAAAAGGCACTACATTTAATGCATGATGAATATGTTTTCCAGAATTGTGTGACTTGCATGAGAGAACACATCTTTTACTAACTGGATATTTTTAATCTAAATGTTCAGAGCTCAACTCAAAAGAGGAACCTCAATTGATGCAAAAGTGGTTCAATCTGGTGATGGAAAAGAATGCCTTGGTTCGCTATGAAGCTGAAATGATGATATTGTGAGTAGTCTATTTAATGCTTTAGTGGAGAGTATTAGTGCAGTTCTTAGTACCAACTGAAGCAAGAAAAAAGTACAGTCGAGTGACAATGGGGGGACTTTTTAGAGCGCACAGGACCAGGAGTTATAGTGTGCCAGATGACTTAAGTAAATGGGTGTGAACTCTCAATACCCTGATGGCTGATTAAGATGCAGAGATATGGATGGGTCCAGCCTCACACAGGCCCTCAAACATTTGATCATCTCCTTAATGCCATTTTCCCACACTATCTCTATATTCCCTCCCTCCGCTCTTAATGTCATTAATGTCCAGAATCCTATAGATTTCTGACTTGAACCCACTTAGTGATTGAGCTTCCACAGCTCTTTGGACAGCAGAAAATTTTGATTTATTTCATTTTATTTGATTTATTTATTGTCACATGTATCTTGTTCCAAAAATATTGTATAGTGTTGCTACTGTCCAGCGCCATCTTAAAACACAGAAAAGTAAACTAAAACATAGAATATAAAGGCAGAAAATTGAAGAAATAAATAAAGACAGAAAAAAATTCTAAGTTTCACTCAGTGAAATTCCACACCATCTCAGTCTTAATTATCCTGCTCCTTATCCTGAGATGATGTCCCCTGGTTCTAGAGTCACCAGCCAAGGGAAACAGTCAAACTGTAAGAATTTTGTGAGTTTCAATGAGATCACCTCTCATTCTTCAAAACTGTAAATAACACACACGCCCATTTTCCTCAGTCTTTCCTCATAGAACAATCCCAGGGATTAACCTGGTGAACCTTGCTGCCCACCCTCTGTGACAAGTGTAACCATCCTTAGATAAGCAAACCAAACAGTGCACAATACTCCAGGTTAGATCTCTCCAAAGATCTATACAGCTCCAACAAGACATCTTTATTCCTGTACTTAAATCCCATCGACATGATGTCAACATATTGCTTGCTTTTCGATTCGCTTTCTGCTCTGCATGCTGGCTTTTAGTGATTCCTCGAAAAGGGATTCCTAGAAACCCTACAAAGCCTAAGCCCAATGTTCTTGTGGAGCTCATTGAATGAGTTTTCTTGGTAACAGGCAATGGTCTGCCTAGCTGGAACTCATCACCTGAGCTCTTTATAAAGCAGAACCATGGAGGAGGCCATATCTGCCAATTGTCTGCCCCTCTTTCACTGTTATATTCATGCCTGAGGGTCCTTGGAGTGGGAGTATGAGGTGTCCACAAATGCTCTTGATGCCTTTAGAGAGACGTGGGTACTGTGAGGGATGCAGAGTTTTATTTCCCCATCCAACTTCATTTTGATTTAGTCCCTTTCTGCTCTCCCTATCCCCCCTTCACTTTTGATGGCTCATATTCCCCATAATGAGCTTTGCTTGTAAATATTTAGTTGGCTGCATGGGTGATGATTAATAAGTTTAAAAAAAAAGTCACAGTCACTCAGTTGTGTTTAATAGTATTTCTGGTATAGAAGAAAAAGTTTTTAAAAAGCAGATCCAAGATAGGGCTATTGTGGTAGTGTCCATACCTCTGAGTTGGGTGCCTTGGCTCGAGTCCCACCTTCTCCAGGTGTAATAACATCTCTGACTAGGTTGATTAGAAAATATCCTATAAAGCAGACCCAGGGATGGGCCTGTAGACTGTCTGTCCTGGACTGGTACCAACCCATGTATGCCATGCATAGTGGCTATAATTTAGTGTTCAATAATAAATGATGTTCCTTTCCAGTCGGGCTTCCTAAATTATTAGAGGCACCTAGATCCTTGTGGACACTCGGACTTCCCAACCTTTCACTGTTTAAGAAATGGTCAGCCTTATTTACCTTATATTTCCAACTGCATTGTTCTAACTCATTCATTTAGTCTGTCCAAGTCCTCTAGAAGACTCCTTTCATCCTCCTGACAACTTGAATCCTTACGCAATTCGGTGTCATCAGCAAAATTTGCAAATATCACTATTCCCCACATCCAAATCACTTATATAGCTTGCGAATAGTTGTGGACCAGCACTGATCCTGTGGTACCACGATTTTATTAGGGTTGTAGATGTCACCTCTCCATTTTTCTTTTCCTTTAAGATGTAAATATCACCTTCCATTTAAGATTCAGATATCACACATCATTCCTGATGCAAATATCTACATTCCTATTGTAATATAGATATCAACCTTTCTTGGACAATGTAGTTTTGGTATTGTTTCTTCTGCATACCATGTAATCATCACCATATATTTTGTAGTTTAGATATTAATTCCATTAATTACCTCTCTACTATGATATGGCTACCATCTCTGCATTAATGGTGCTGCGGCACTGTTGAGTGGGCAGAGAGGACTGATAGAAGTCTATGAATCTACCAAAAGCCAAAAAGAGCTTGTGCTAGTATACCACCCCTAAAACGTTATTTATCTCTCCATCTTACTGGTTAGAAATTCAGTTTTAACTCCAGATTCAGATTTGAAAATTCTTATTCCGTTTTCCTGTACTCATTGTGTCCTGGACTTTTGTCTGAGAATCGTGTACACAATTTAGTGTGAATTCCCAGCTCTGTGTGAACATGATTTTTAAAGATGGCTACTTGGATTTCTTGGGGATGCAATATTAGGAATAGCAGTAGGTGATGCCAGAAGTAGTGAGGAGGATATTGGGTGCAGAGGAGGGAGACTGGTGTCCAAAGTGTTTAAACAAAAACATGAGAAAAACCTCCAGGGTTCACTCAAATAGAACGGAATGGAAAACGGAAATAAAAACAAAAGGTGCTGGGGAAACTCAGCAGGGCTGGCAGCATCTCTGGCGAGAGAAACAGAGTTAACATTTCGAATCCAATGCTGGCCTCAAGCATTAACTTTATTTCTGTCTACGGCTGAGTTTTTCCAGCACTTTGTTTTTATTTCCTCCAGAATTCACCCCTCAGAATCCCTAATAGACTGACAAACACACACTACTGATGCCACATTCATGCCAACCCATGCTACCTCATGCATTGTGCCCGTTTCCCACAAATTCCCTATGCCATCCATGCCAACCTACACCCATGTACTCAACCCTCAATTGCCTATTATAGCTTTCATGCCAACCTAGCTCCAATTCACACCAATCCATGATCCCATCCTTTGCTCTTAATCCCGCCATGCTGACTCACCCAGTATTTACCAAAGACAGAGCTCAGAATGTATACAGTGAAGAGGTAAAGCTCTCCAACGTAAAGTTATGAGGCAAGGATATTCCTTTATTTTTAAGTTATGAAGGCAGTTGCGTTCACAAGCAAGATACTCCCACAGCCATTAATGTGAAAACCAGGAAGATCAAGCGCCAATCGAGAATTTAAGTAGTCACTTGACAGTCTTGTCAGTCAGTCATTTAGCAGGGCAACATATCCTGCTCTACCTGAATCTGCTGGTGGAAGTGAATCAAAAGCTTGCAACCACTAAGGCACAGTGCCCCTTCAAACACCCAAGCAGAGTTGTGGCCAGGAGTAACAGGAAGTTCAGTTATGTTTTGGAGGAGGGAATCATGGGATGGAGTTGACAGCAATATTCCCTCAAGGCTGTGACACAGCCACACAGCAGTTCCAAGGTTCCATGCCTGTTGTGCTCTCAGAGGCCCATGTAGCAGCTGGAGAATTTAGAGGGAATGTAGGTACCAGGAGGTGGAGGTAAGGGCAATTTTGACATTCAGTGCCCAAAGCCTCCGCCCCACCCTGCCACCAATTCCCCACCCATGCTCCTGAGCATTCCCATATTTGGGTAGGTTGAGGTCCCTATATCCCAATCCAGCAGTTAGGCTACCTCGTTTCTCCAGTTGGAAAGAGTCTGTTTTTCTAATCTGCCTGGAACACAGTATATTGGTGGCAAGATTTATTCTTAAGTTATCATATATTAGTTACCACTTAGAGACATTTCTTGGCAATGGGTTAGGAAGGTCACCCATGAAACTTCCCACCCAGAACCTAATTCCTGAGGTGGCAGAAAAGGTTGGGTATTTTTCTGGTGCCAAATTGTCCAATTTTTTTGTCCTTTTTGCCACCTCCCCCATCATTTCTAGAGAGAAAAATATCCTCACCTAAGTGTTTATTGTTAATCTTTGCTCATGTCACCAATTCTAACGTTGGGGCATGGAATGTGAATGGATAATCCCACACTTACAGGCAAGGCACTGCAGTGGTTTACCAACATCTTCTGCAGCATGGCTGACCAAGAAATTCTCCCACCTTTACCACCTGCCACCAGGCACATTGGAAGGATTTTAAACGCTGATAAACATATTTGCCCATATTACAAATGCCTTAGTCAGCAAATCGTGGAGTGGGACACAAAACAAGAGACTCTGGTCCAGGGTCACTTCACCTTAAGACCTCTGCACTTGGACTTCATGATATTGAAAAAAATCTCTCCTTTTTAAAACCCACTTACTACAATTACATTCCTACACTACATAAAGCCTTAGCATAACCAAAATTTCATTCAAGTGCACAATCTTTATAACAAGAAGTATTGGAATTCATATCTCATTTCAGAGAGTCCATAGCGTTTGTAGTTGTCATCAAAAGATGTGAAACAATAGGCCTCCTATTGTGATAACAAATGATTGTGGAATCAGTCATACAATGGTAATCCAGTTATTAAAAAAACATGTTTATGTCAACAGACAGAGTGAAATAGCTAGCGATTCTATTTAACACTCCAGAAATATTTGTTTCAAATATTTAAAGGACAGCATGTTTAAATGTTTTGACAAATTAATTTGACAGTCACTTTATCATGTCCATAAGACTAAACGACATACCATTCAGCCTATTGAGAATACTCTGCTATTCAATGAGATTATGGCTGATTTAATAATCCTCAACTTCACTTTCCTGCCTTTTCCCTGTAACATTTAATTCCCTTCTGCCTAACTCAGCCTTGAATATACTTAACTAGCCAGTCATGACAGTATTCTGTGGTAAAGAATTTCACTACCCTCTGAGAGAAGAAATTTTTCCTCATTTGTATTCAATATGCAACCCCTTATTCTGATATAATGCCCTCTGGTCCTATACTCTCCTACAAGGTAAAACCATCTTTCAGTATCCACCCTTGTCAAGTCCCCAAAGAATCCTGTAGGTCTCAATAAGGTTGCCTCTCGTGCTTTTAAATTCTAATGAGTACAGACCCAACCTACTCAATCTCCCATGAGACAATCTCTCCATACCTGGTATCAGCCTAGTGAACTTTTTCTGAACTGCCTTCAAAGCCAGTATATCTTTCCTTAGATAACGGGCCTAAAACTTTTCACAGTATTCCAGCTGTGATCTAACTAGTGCCTTGTATAGATTTAGCCAGACCTCCTTACATTTATATTATATTCCCTTTGAAATATAGGCCAATATTCCTATTACCTGCTGAACTTGGACGCTACCTTTTTGTGTTTCATGGATGAGTACTCCCAAATCCCTCCTATCTGTGGCGTCCTGCTGTCTTTGTCCATTTAAATGATGTTCAGCAGTTCTTCCTGCCAAAATGCATGACTTCATATTTCGTAATATTATATTCCATCTTCTAACCTGTCCTTATCTCTCTATAAACTTTTTGTGTCATCCTCACTACTTGGCCTTCTCACTAATTTTAGTGTTATCCATAAATTTGGTGATAGTACATGCACTTTCCTCATCCAAGTTATTAATATACATTGTAAATAATTGTTGTTTCAGCTTTGATCCAGGTGGCACTGCACCAGCTACAGGTTTTCATTCTGAAAATGCCTCCTTTCTTCTACTAGTTAGCCAATCCTCTACCCATGCTAGTACACTTCCTCCAACACCATGGCTTCTTATCTTCTTAAGTTGACTAATGTGTAGTACCTTACCAAACACCTTTTTGGAAGTCCAAATATATTACATCCACTGCCTACTCTTTATTTATCCTGCTTGTTACTTCCTCAAAGAATTCTCATTAGTTTGTCAGGCATGACTTCCCCTTTGTGAAGCTACGCTGACTCTGTTTTATGTATTTCAAAATGTTCTGCCATTACATCCTTCATAATAGTTTCTAATATTTTTCCAATGACAGAGGTTAAGCTAACTGATTGATAATTTCCTGGTTTTTGTCTTCTATTTTTAGTTAAAGGTGACACATTTAGTTTTCCAATCCTCTAGGACTACCCCGAATCTAATGATTCCTGGAAGATCACTACCAGTGTATCCACACACTCTTCTCAGTGACTTCCTTTAATGTGCTAGGATGCATTCCATCAGGTCCAGGGCACATATTGGTCTTTAGGCTTGAGGGCCTAAATAGCCTGCACCTGTTCCTATGTTTAGCCCCATTAATTTTCTTCGTACTTTTCTCTAGTGATTGTCATCCTCTTGATACTTTTGACAGATCCTCATGACAGTTGCTGTAGCAATTTTTCAGGATTTATTTTGACAGGTCTGTTGACATTGCCAATGAGCTTGCCAGTGCAATTTTACACACATTCATATCTACTTTTCACAATTCACAGGATACCTACTGTCCCCAAATGTGTCGTGGGGCCAGATCTAAGAGGCAGCTTTCCTCTCTGTGGGAATATCCTGGCTATCCAAAGAAATGTACAAAGTTCCAAAAACAACAAATGCTGGAGATCACAGCAGGTCAGACAGCATCCATGGAGAGACAGCAAGCTAACGTTTCAAGTCTCGATGACTCATCATCAGCTCTAATGAAGAGTCATCGAGAAGCAAAATGTTAGCTTGTTCTCTCTCCTTGGATGCTGTCTGACCTGCTGTGATTTCCAGCATTTGCTGTTTTCAGTTCAGACTCCAACATCTGCAGTAATTTGGTCCGACAAAGTTCAGATCCATTTTTACCGGGGGTTCACTGTACATTTTGGGTTTCACACATTCCAGAGTCATCAAGATCTGACCTGAGTGTGGGCCGGTGCAGATTTAAATGGCCAGCTGCCCCTATAAACAGTGTTTACATGCATCACAGACCTTCGCTATTCCTGCCTCTGTGAAAATGGGAAGTGTGACGAGGATCTTTGTCACAGCGAAAAGCCAGGTCTGTGTGTCTGATTCCACTGCCCCAGCAATTGCAGTAGCTGAACCATCCATCCCATCACGACTGCACCAGCTCTTTGCAGGGGTAACTCACTTAGTCTCAACCCCCACCCTTTCCCCATAGCCTGTAATTTTTTTTCACTTCAGGCACTTATCCAATTCCCCCCTGAAAGCCCTGATTATGTCTGCCTCCATGAGCTACAGGATCTGCAAACCATGTGAGAAGATTAATTGATAGGTACAGAATTCCCAGATTGGCAGTATTCCCAACTTCTCCCTTTTGTGTCTTTACAGTGCTCGCGAATTGGAACTGGAAGATCAGCAGAGCCGGTTAGAGCAGATGCTTCGTGATCGGATGGCAGTTGACGGTGAGCATTATAGCTTGTGATGGGTCTTAATTAAATTACTCAGGTCTTGGCGCTGGGAGGATAATTGCAAATTACCCAGCAACAAGCTGCCATGCTTCTCCTGCCAGGGCTTAATTAAAACAGGGGCTGTTAGCAATCTGTGTAATCACCATTGGTCTTCAAAGGAGTTAATTCAAATGTGATCAGAAACACAGCAGCCCTGCACAAGCAACATCTGAGTACCGCCCTAAGTGTTCACTCCCTGCCCTACTGGCCCACTATTATTGGTAACCAGCATTGTGTCAGGTTGGACTGCTGTGTACGTGAAACTGAAGTGGTTTGTATAGAATAACACAGAGAAAGCACCATCCAGAAAAATAACAGGCAATCTGACCAAACAGATCAATGCCAAAATTTATGTTTCACAAAGGCCTCCTCCCACTCTGCCTCACCTAACCCCATCAAATTATCCTTCTCTTCCTTGCTCCCCTCATGTGTTTATCTCACTTCCCCTTAAATTCATCTTTGTCATGTACCTCAACTACTTCTTGTGGGAGTGAATGCCACGTTCCACTATTCAATAAGGAAGATTTTCTTGAATTTGGTCTGATTAGTACTTATGGACTGAGATTATCTATTACAAGTCTGAAGCAAGGAAATAATTCAGACCAATATATTTGGTGGGAAGGAGCATCCACCTGCTGTTGAGTTGTGCTCAAGTAATTTTGTTTTTGCTTTCATGGGACACTGGTGTCGCTGTTGCTTTCCATCATTGTCCTTGAACTAAATGATTTGACAGGCCATTTCAGGAAACAGTTAAGAGTCAACCACATTACTGTGGGTCTAGACTTATACATATGTCAGACCAGATAAGGATGGCAGATTTCCTTCCTTAATGGATATTTCTGAGCCATGTTTTCAACAAATAATGATAGTTGTCATAACATCAAGCAGCGTCTGTGGAGAGAAAGCAGAATTAATGTTTCAGGTCTAGTGACCCTTCTTCAGAATTGATGGTAGCTAGGAAAATGATTAGTACATATGCTGAAGATGGGTAGGAGAGTAAAGAGTACACAATAGATGGAGACAGAACCCAGAGGGGCAGAAAGATAATGAACCAGAAAAAGGGATATTTGATAGTAAGCCAGGAAAGGAGAAAAGCTGTTAATGGGAACAATGAGGAGGTGAAAATGGGTTGGCTGAGCTGAATGCAGCCCAGGTCATGACAGGGCCTGAGTATGGGTGTGACTAAAGGACATGGAAGGAGGTGTTCAGGCTCTAATATTATTGAACTCAATATTGAGTTGTGAAGGTTGCAGGGACCCCAAGTGGAAAATGAGATTCTGTTCCTCCAGCTTGTGCTGAGCTTCACTGGAGCATTGTGGCAACCCCAAGATAGAGATGTTGGCCAAGGAACATGGCAGTGTGTTGAAGTGGCAGGCAACCAGAAGTGTCATTGTTGCAGATGGAACGAAGATGTTCTACAAATGGTCACCTGGTCTGTGTTTCATCCGCCAGTGTAGAGGAGAGCACAGTAAATGTCTTCAGCATATATACCACTGTTTCCTAGCTACCATCAGTTCTGAAGAAGAGTCACTGGATCCAAAACATTAATTCTGTTTTTCTCTCCACAGATGCTGCCAGACCTACTGAGTTTCTCCAGCAATTTCTGTTTTTGTTTCAGATTTGCAGTTCTTTGTTTTACTCCAATGATGGTAATGGTGACCATGACAACTAACACTGAACTCATATTCCAGATTTACTATTTGCAATGGTGAGATTTGAACCCATGGCCCAAGAGCGTAAACTAGAGGGTGTCTGGATTACTAGTGCAGTGAAATTACCATTATTCCATAATTTCCCTCCCCTTTGTAGCATTTGTCCTTGTCTTCAGTGGCACAGCAGTCAGAGTAGCAACAGGAAACTCTTACAAAATGATCTCAGGACTGGGATTGTTTAAATCAGCTGCCAACCTGAGAACCATTCAGAAAACTCAGAACACATGTCACCCCTTTTCCTGTGCAGCATTCCCTCGCTCCATTTGATGCTCCCAAAGTTCTTTCCCTATGGGACAATATTGGGGGAAACAGTTGCCCAGGACAGAAACAATGAAAACTCCTGTTCCGCTGCAATGGGAAACATGCCTTTCCAACCACCCTGGCTGGAGTACTGCACACCTTTCACTGCCCCCATCACTAAACTGGAATTAACAGCTCATTCTCTAAAACAACAGCAGGACCACAGAATTATTACAGTGCAGGAGGAGGCCATTTGACCCACTATGCCCACACCTGTTCTATTGCCCTCTGCCAAACTCCTGCCTTTAGCCCATATCCCTGCACACCATTTCTATCCACAACAAGATTGTGCATTTACAATGTTTATGGACCATGAGCTTTTTGGGTGCCACCATGGAGATTTGCATACAAGCAGGTAATTCGGTCCACCAAGCCAATGCTACAATTCACTTACCTACCTTTGCTCCATATCTTTCAGTACTCTTACGCAACAAAAAAATCTATCAACCTTTGTTGTGAAATCTTCAACTGAGCTCTGTAGCATTCGCTTTCTGTGACAAAGTTCTTCCCGAATTCACCCCTGAATGACTCAATTCAATTTTTAACATAATACTCCCATATTCTGGATTTCCTCATGAATGGACAGTGTCTCTCTATATAGCTTATCAAATATACAATTTTTAAGCACCTCAATCAGATCATCCTTCAACTTTCCAAGCCAAGAAATTGCAAGCCTATGAAATGCTTTAGTGTTATTCTGGTAAATTTGCACAGCACCAGTTTCAAGGCCAATATACCATTCCTTGGCTGTGGTGACTAGACCTGAACATAACTACTTTGGACAGTGGACTAACCAAAGTTTTTTTAATTGTGGCATAACTTCCAGCCTTTTTTAATTCCAGCCACCTTGCAATGAAGGCCAGCATTTCTCTTTGCTGATTCTCTTTGCTGATTTCCATTCTTGTACCATCCTGTAGACTGGATTGTAAAAGTTAGTTCCTGGTTTGAGGAAGTTAACACTTGTTCGCTTTCCCAATGTTATCATTTCTACACAGAATCCAAGAAAGTGGAAAAGGACATTGCTGAGGAGAAGCAGATTCTGGATGAAATGATGGATGTGATCAAACAGAGATACAAACTGGACTTCCTGCTGAAAGAGCAGAGACTCCAAGAGAAGGAAGAAGATCGAGATTTAGAAAGTTGGTTGGTGGCCAAGGGCTACAAATTCAACTGGTCATGAATAACTTGGCTATCAGACTCAGCAATAGATTCAATGGTTTATAAATGGACAGTCTGTACAAGAACTTTTCACTGGAAGTAATGCAATGGAAAAGGCACTGGTACCTGGAGAGTACAGTTTTTACCCACCTTGAACCAGGTGGGATTCACTGCCTGCTCTTCATCAAATCCAATTTGTTCTCCGCTTTGAGTTGGAAATTACTGATTACAGAAAGGACTGGTTATGTCCCAGCTGGATATTTGTGTCCAATTCTGGATTTCACACTTTAGCAAGAACGTGAAAACTTTGAAGAAGGGAGCAGAAGAGTATTACTAGAATAATACCAGGGATGCAGTTAGCCTGGAGAAACAGAGATTACTCTGAGAGCAGATAAATTTGTGGGGAGATGTAATAAAGGTGTTCAGAACTTTTCAATAGAGAAAACAATGGAAAACTCTTTTTACTGCCATTGCACACAGATGTACATTAATGACCAAAAGAACCAGTGGGAAAAAATAAGACTTATTTCAAAGTGGTGAATTGTTGTGATCTGGAGTTTGCTGCCTGTAAGGATGGTGGAAGTAGATTCAACTGAAACTTTCAAAAGGGAATTTGTAAAGTATCATTCCTGCAAAGGAGAAAAATATTGCAGAGCTATTACCAAACCACAGAGTGAGAGTGGACTAATTAGATAAACCTTTTCAAGGGAGCTGGCAGAAACATGATGTACCAAATAGTTCCCTTCTTTTCCATATAATTTCATGATGTCAATGGAGCTTGGTGAAAATTGATCTCGTTAATCATTAAACAGTGTCTGTCTTGATTGAAATACTCACCACTTCTGAATGGTCCTACTGTGAACCTCTTTGTTCATTAATTAGTAAAGCTGCTTGGGGTAATATTCTCACGTACAAATGTTTTGTGCGATGTTTTATAATGGGTTATTATATTTGCAAATTATCTTTTATTGTGGGCCAATGGTTCACTGACCAAAGCTCAGTGGAGAGCTTGCTGTTAAGCTTTTTGCCAATTACAGCTTAATGACCTCAAGCTGTAGTTGACAACTTGACCCCGTGCATTTTGTTCATGGCTACGAGGCATCAGATAGGAATTGCTGTTTAAAGAATATCAGAATGTTTTAACACTAAACTGTATGTGCACTGAATGTTGACTGGAGTAAACATGATCACAACGTCTGTGTAATATCCTGTTTTATTTCTGCATTTATATGGAATCACCTAAGGAAAAAAATCTTCTTGGCCATTATTAAAGGGAAATATCTTCTTATTAAAGAGATGTGCATCCTATTGAATAGACCGACAATCTTATTACAATTATGTAAAGCAGAGAAAGTAACATTCCGTCAAGCAATCAACACAAGTGTTTATGGTCCACAGGAGCATCTCTTCATCTCCTCCTATGAATGTATCCTCAATTCTTCCTGTGTTTTCCAGATTCCCTATAAATGTTTATATTTAATTGCCTGAAGCACACCATGTGACCATGAGACCCACAGTCCCAGATTTCTCCTCATTTTTTTTTGAGTTATTTATCCTGCTTAAAACTTCCAGTTTTGGATTCATAAAGAGATTGAGTTGTATGTTTATCGGTCTTTCTGGCTGCCAGTACCTGTTAATCTTTGATTTATCAGACAGTCTGGATGTGACCAAGTAAATGTTGCCTGCAGCTCCTTTGACATCACTTCAAGGGAAACTGTATACATAATCCACATTTACATCTCACGTGGAACTGTATGGTTTTGCAGAGAACAAAGTTTGAGGCAAAATATTGTGAAGGTGACCCTTGAGAATAGGCTTTGATTTTTTATAGGGAGCAAACAAAGGGGTGTAGAAACTATGATAGCAGGACGACTAACTTACATTAAGTTATATGAAAAGTAAAGCACAGAAACAGGCCATTCAGTCCACTAGGTCAATGCCAGAGTTTATATTTCCCAAGAACCCTGTCCCAACATTCTGCATCTCACCCTATCAGCATATACTTAATCCTTTCTCTCTTATCATTGTTATCCTCTTAAATTCACCTATACCATTTATTTGCCTTATCTATCCCATGTTGTAATGAGTTCTCACCACTCACTGGGTTTGTCCTGAATTCCCAGATTCATTCATTGTTGCTTATTCTGAGTGAATCTGTCAGGGCGGCACGGTCGCTCAGTGGTTAGCACTGCTGCATCACAGCGCCAGGGACCTGGGTTTGATTCCACCCTCGGGTGACTGTCTGTGTGGAGTGTGCACGTTCTCCCTGTGTCTGTGTGGGTTTCCTCGGGGTGCTCCGGTTTCCTCCCACAGTCCAAAGATGTGCAGGCTAGGTGGATTGGCCATGCTAAATTGCCTGTAGTGTTCAGGGATGTGTAGATTAGGTGGGTTATAGGGGGATGGGTCTGGGTGGGATGCTCTGAGGGTCAGTGTGGACTTGTTGGGCTGAAGGGCCTGTTTCCACACTGTAGGGTGTTCTGTGATCAAATTATAACCTTATTGCTGGAATGTTGTGATTTATTTTACTGCTGTTTCAGTGTCATTCTGTAATTATATCCTTATGCCGTATGTTGATAGCTCAATCATTAGCCCCAGTTGTGAGGTAGCTCAACATTACTTACCTCTCATTTAACAGACAAGTCAGGGAAAAAAACACAAGGAGTGTTTTACTCAAACCTGGGAGCACACACTGCCAAAAGGCCCTGGTGCAACAGATTCACTACCTGGTGGTAAATGTTAAATTAGTTTTTCCACATAACAAAACCTGTCCATTGAAGCATGACCTTCATTAATACTTCTGTGGAACATTGTGTACAACCAGAGTTTAGCAGTTCCGCATAAATGTTGCCCTGCATTGTCCACAATTATTTAACTGCACTCTACTGGAAAGACAGAAATCAGATGAATCACCTCTAACGTTGAGTGAGTTCTAGAATGTCAAACCCAAATGTAAACAGCAATCTCATTTAGCTTATATCTGAATATTTATTAAGGTTGTCAGCTGGGCTCAATTGGTAGCATTCTCTTTCCTAAGAGTTGAAAGGTTCAATGTTCACGCCACAGATTTAGGCCCATAATCAATGTTGACACTCCCTGTGCACTACTGAGGGTGTGCTATCCTAACAGAGATGTTGACTTTTGGATGAAATATTTAATAAAGTCTCAATATTCCCTTTCAGGTGGATGTACAAGATCTCAAGGATACTAATTTGAAGAATAGGAGAGGGGGGTCAATCAATTACCTTGACCAATAATTATCCCTCGGCCAGCATTGATCATCTGATCATTTTCACATTTTTTTGTGGGATCTTGCACAGCACAAAATGGCTGCTCTGTTTCCTATGTTAGCATGGTGACTATGCTTCAAAAGTACTTAGTTGGCTGTAAAGTGCTTTAGGATTTCCTGAAGTCATGAAAATATTCTATAGAACTGTGGGCAGGACTTCACCAGGCCCTGAATGAAGTGGGCTATGGCAGAAAATCCTGGAAAATCATGTGAGGTATTGAGTGAGGCCTATCTCGACATCAGGAGCAATTTTCCAACAGACTTCTGGCCATTGAGACAAGATTCTTGCTAGGTAGCAGGGATTATGGCTTATTATCATAAGATCTTAAGATGTAGGAGCAGAAGTAGGCCATTCAGCCCATTGAGTCTTCCCTGCCATTCATTAAGGTCATGGCTGATCTGATAAACCCAACCCCACTTTCCTGCCTTTTGCTGGTATGCAGAGGGAATTCCAAAAGTGAAAGGGGGCAACTTAATATATAAAGGAAGGAAACAATACAGCATGTGTGGGTAAGGAGTCATATGGGAGGGGGCATCATCAGTGGTGAGCAGCACCCTGACTTCCGTGGTGGGGGCGGGGGAATCACAGTGAACTACAAGATCCTGTATGTTCACCTCATACACCTGGGGCTGTGGGAGAAAAGTGGCAGATGCACCATAGGATGGATAGCATGGGTGGGGGACTCGAGGGGGTGTGATACCAATGGGGTAGACTGTGAGGGATACAGGGCACTGGATATTCATGTTTGTGTGTTGGTGAGGCCAAGTCTGGGATTTACAGCCCAAGGAGCGGCCGCAATTGTCTCCCATCTTCCTGTTAAACACAAGTTCACCATGGAAATGAAATTGGCTGCAAGCACACTCAGAGTGGGAAGTGTAAATACTGCCATTTATGAGAGAAGGGTCTTTTCAAAGACCAAAACAAACACACCACACAGTGAATCTGAAAGACATTTGCAAACTCAGCATTCCTTGTGACCTTTAGGCATTAACAAATTGTGTAGAGTCCAACTCAGAGGATTAGAGTGTATGTGTACGCTCCTTAGCTCCGGGGGGGAAGTGGTATTATCCCTGCCTTTGAGCCAGGAGGCCTGGATTCAAGTCCCACCTGCTCCAGAGGTGTGTAATACCATCTCTGAGCTTTAGAAAATAGTTTTATGTTACCCTCCTCAGCCTGGACTCCCACAAGATTGTTGGTGTATTGGACAGTAAAGAAGATTATCTCAGAGTACAACAGGACCTTGATCAGATTGGTCAATGGGCTGAGGAGTAGTAGATGGAGTTTAATTTAGATAAATGTGAGGTGTTGCATTTTGGTAAGACAAACCAGGATAGGACTTATACAATTGATGGTAGGGCCCTGGGGAGTGTTTCCAAACAAAGAGACCTTAGGATGCAGGTGCATAGTTCCTTGAAAGTGGAGTTGCAGATAGTCAAGGATGGTGAAGCAGGCATTTGGGAATGCTTGCCTTTATTTGTCATAACATTGAGTATCGGAGTTGGGATGACATATTGCGGCTGTACAGGACATTGGTGAGGCCACTTTTGGAATACTGCTTGCAATTCTGGTCACCATTCCATAGGAAGGACGTTAAACTTGAGAAGTTGCAGAAAAGATTTACAGAAATATTCCTGAAACTGGAGGATTTGAGTTATAGGAAGAGGCTGAATAGGCTGGGTTTTTTTCCCTGGAGCATTGGAGACTGAGAGATGACCTTATAAAGGTTTATAAAATCATAGGGGGCATAGTTAGGGTGAATGACCAAGATCTTTTTCCTGGGGTTGTGGGTGGGGGGAGGTGGTACTTGGAGGACTGCAAAGACCAGGCAACTGTTTAGACCCAGGCCGGAGAGAACACTGTGGTGTCAGCAATGAGGTAGCCTGATGGGGTGGGGTGGTGGTTGGAGTCCAAAACTAGAAGGCATAGGTTTAAGGTGAGAGGGGAAAGATTTAAAAAGGACCTGAGGGATACTTTTTCTCACACAGGATTGTGCACGCATGGAACAAGCTGCCAGAGGAGGTGGTAGAGTCGGGTACAATTACAACTTATAAAAGGCATCTGGATGGGTTTATGAATAGGAAGGGTTTAGAGGGATATGGGTGAAATGCTGGCAAATTGGCCTAGGTCAGATTGGGATGTCTGGTTGGCATGGAGGAGCTGGACTGAAGGGTCTGTTCCCGTGCTGTATGACTGTCTGACTCTATAAGACTGAAGTAGCAGACATGGTGAGAGGAGAGCTTGAGGAGCCTTTATGTGATGCTTTCTCTGGCTGTGTGCCTACTGGTGCTACACTATCTCTTTGTAAGGAAGGGCACCTGGAGTGAGGTCAAGGTTCCTCATCCTCCTGTCACCTTGCCATTCGTGCTGGGCACCAATGGCTGTGGTGAAGAAGTACAGGCCAGTTGTGTATCCAGCAGACTCTGAGACTGTGCTGGACCTGACCTTACCATAGCAGCCACTGAGCTGTCCATGGAGGCTGTCAGATGATCCCATACCTGAGGTAGCCTGGTCCCCATGGTGCTATTGCATCCCTGAAGCTGTTGTGCTGTGGTATCCATTGCCTCCTATAAACCTGCCAGCTGCTCCACTGTTGTTTGTGCTTTTTGGCAAAGTCTCTCATTGCTGACACCATAATGTTCTCTCCGGCCTGGGGCTAAACAGTTGCCTGGTCTTTGCAGTCCTCCAAGTACCAGTGACTTGGGGCCTTTCTTCCTCAACCAACTGCAGAGACGTGGCAGTGATGTGTTCACTAGTGGGTACCCCTGACTCTAATCGAGATAACATGCCCAGCGAGGGGTCAGTATCTGAGCTGGGAGAGGGTGCAGGAGGCAGCCTAGCCAGTTCTTTCTCTGAGACATCCGTGCTCTCTTCCTCAGAGATGCTGAAGGTAATGCCATGCAGGGAGGTCCTCTAGATCACAGCTAACATGGACTTACCACCGGTACCCGCAAGACAAGAATAAGAGAGTGTCATGATCAAGGTTATAAATTGTGGTAGGTATAAAAG